TTATTTATTTATTTATTTATTTAAATGATGCCTTCCACTAAAATTATCACTCAAGGTGGCTTACAAACAGTAAAAAGAATTAGAACAGATAACATCATTTTAAGCTCAAACATGACAAAATGATAATGAATACTTTAAAAAACTGTTCAAACCAGCAAAATATACAGGCTAAGAAAACAACAACAGGACCAGTTTCATATGTCATACACCAGGTCTAGAAAGATGGGATTTTAATCCTTTCTTAAAATCAGTGGAAGGCCTTCCACACCAGAGACCTTTAACGATAATAAAGGTCCTTATTAATAAACATCCTTTCAACTGGTTGGAAACAGAATTAGAACATAGTCTTAATATACGAGGCGCCATCTCGAGACTGAGCTGAATCAGAACCAGAGCAGGGGCTATCTGTTGAAAGCTTTCCTGTCCCTAACAGAGTCCTGATCATAAAAAACATTTCATCTAGTTAAGCCATAACATTTAGTTTTAAAATTTAGCGGAACCTAAAAAAGGCTGAGAGTGTTTGTGGTAGATGGTGTTATGTAGTCTGGAATCTTCTATTTTCTAAACAGAAATTTATTTGGCATATTTTATACTTTTTTTTTAAAGGTATGGTGACATTTTCAGAATCTTTGGGCTCAGCTATTGAGATAACTTCCTTTTAAAAAGAGGTTTTGCTGTCTTCTTCCTGCAGCAGCCTAGTAGAAGATGTGTAGGGGACAAAGGGAACAGAAATTCCCCCTTTAGCAGTAACACGACATCATTAAGATTTTCAGTGATTTTTAATGTTCTCTACCAACCAATGAGTCCCTATGGTATTTCCAAGTAAGGTGAAGTGTTAAGTATATAATGAAGTTGGGCTTCTTTGCAGAGGTCAGAGAGCTCGTTACCAGTCTGAACCGATCAACTGCCTACTTGCACTGAAAAGCTTGGACAAAATCAGTGATCAGCTGTGTAATATCTCACAGTATGGTATCTAAAATGAATCTGATGAGACCTTTTTTTCCCATTAAAGTGACACTGGTAGATGTCACTTGGATACAGAAAGGATGAATTTCTAATGAATCACTCTCATTATGCTCACAGTTTCAGTACAACCTCCTAAGTCTGCTAATGTCTCAGTCCTCACATCTCTGTTATGATTCCACTGTTCTCTTAAAATATTTTAATTGGCCAGATGGTTTGCTGAAGTTACAGGCTTGCAGACACACACACACACTTACTCTGGAGTAAGTACTTTTGAAAATACTGGGAAATAACATGCACAGAACCAGGCTATGAAAGAAAAGGAAGTGGAAATGGAACCAAACAGAGATGATTAAATTCTACCCAGTTCTGATAATTAGGGTTGAATTAATTGATATGATGAATTGATCAATCCCAAATTAAAAGATTGCACTGAATTTTAACTGGAGTCTTGTCTAGCAAAATAGCAGTTCTCTATATGGTTGTATCCCTTGATATGAGCAATGCTTTTAAACTGATTACCCTCACTCCACCAAGTGCATTTTTGGGGGGCTGAGAAAAAAAATATTTTGGTTGATATGAGCAATGCTTTTAAACTGATTACTCTCATTCCACCAAGTGCATCTTTTGGGGTCTGAGAAGAAATAATTTGTAGAACAGAAACATCTGTTTTTATTAAGTAACATGAAAGTACAGTATCATTTGAATAAGGCTAATAATTATTTTAATAGGTTGCTTAGATAGCTAGCTAGTGGAAAACAAAACCTCCAAATTGATTCCAAAATTTTTTATTCAGATGTGGATGGTTCTAGGAATCTAAGAGTCATTTTTTATTCCACTTTTAGAGCCATTTCAGGTTGCAGGTTAAGAAAAGCTTGATAGGAACTACCTACTGGGAAGCCTAGATGCAATGCTAATCATTACTAAGCTCCTGCCAGCATTGGTTAGGGAAAGAATTCTGTTGGCTCAAAACCCCCAGATGGGTTACATCTGCGATGGGGCATCAATAAATCTGAATTAAAAGCCCCATGGATCCCCAGGGCCTAATTTGCAGACTTAATCCTCATGACCTTAAGTAGCCAAACATACATTTGCACATCTCCTCAAAACATATATACACACACACACACACACACACAGAGAGAGAGAGAGAGAGAGAGAAAGAGAGAGAGAGAGAGAGAGGGGATATGCTATCCACCTTCTCCTGAACACACTTTGGATGGATCTGTCCATGCAACATCCTCTCCCTCTCCTCCTTTAATTAGTTATTGGGTTGCTAAAAAGATAAATAAAAAGGTGGCATACATAATAGAATCAGCTTCTCAGAGTTAATTAGTGGAACAATCTGATGGTCCAACCTCTGAAATAATTTCTGGTGTTCTTTTACTTTGGGGGAAATTTTAATTCCTAAAATGTCAACACCATAAATCGGGGCTTGCTATCCCCAAGCTCTCCTAATGTAATAGTCTATGGATTCGATCATCCCCAACCATCACAACTAATGGGCACAGTAGCTGCCATGATCAAACATGTAGTTTAATACATCAGGAAAGCACAAGGTTGTGGGAGTTTGACTTAAACAACAAAACATTCCAATTTGAAAGTATGAGTCCCGCCTTTCAAGTGTTTGTCTATTTAGGGTCAAGGTGGAATGAGAAGGGAAACCCAATGATTAAGTCATTTGCTTTCCTACAGTGAAATCCTTAAATGTAGATGCCTCATCAATCAATCTGATAAATGAAACCCATGATAAACTTCCATTGACCAACTGCAGAACAAAGGATGTTAAATATAAGGAAAATCACAGGATATGCTGTGTATATGTCTTCCAAGAGAAAGGGAACTCCGCAACAACAACAACAACAACAAATGTTTTAGAGTCTGAGCCTCAGCAAAATCACCAGCTTTCCTGTTGTCATATAGACATTGAGGTATAGAAACAGAACATGTGAAGTTTTCCTCAGCATGTTATTTGGAGATGTCAGAGAAAGTTTCAACTTCCGAATTTCTGAGTGTCATCTTGCTACAGAAGGACAAGAGTGGAGCCATAACAAAGCTGTAAAAATCCTTAAGCTAACTCTTGGGTGAGAAGGGGCACAGCTCTGTAGAAGTTGTTTTTCCTAGTCTAATGAGGTAAAAATGGCATCTTCCCTTCAGTAGTGTGCAACTATCTGCAGGAAAGGCCCATCTGTCTCTGTTTTACAATGAAAACATTAGTAAAACCTGGGCAGTAACACAGATCATGAAAATGCTGGCTGCACTTCCTTTTGGCACATTTTTCTGAGGCCTGAATTTAAAATTCCACAATCAGAGATTCCCAGCTGTGTGGAAATATGGGACATTCTTGACTCAGTTTTAAGCAGCTGTTTTGACTTTCCGTTGGGATAGAGCACCTGGCTTTCATTTTTAAAAGATGAAAGTTTCTTTCTTCCTCACAGCCATGACAGTCCTATATTATAGCAGGGGAAAGCTGAGTTGCACCTTAACACCAGACAAAATGTGTTGTCTGGAATCTCTTTGCAGACACTTGGTGTGTTCCTCTCTCCAGAAACTTGATTTTCAAAGGAATAATGAGCTTGCCTCACAGAAATTCACCAGTACCATGTTCAAAGGGGTTAATTAGCATAACATCTCCCACCATATGAATTCAGAGAACCTTTTGATGCCCATCAATTTTCCATCAAAAATATAGTTAAAAAGTGTATCTTTTTGCTGGGTATAAGTAACAGGATCTGAAATGCATGAAAGTCTAAGATTACTGTTCCCCACTTTTGTAAAAGTTGCATATATTGCTTAGGATAAAGGTAAATGAATATTGCTATTGTAACTAGGAAAAATTAGGATTGCAGTTTAATTCCCATACACTGATAAGTGTCAGAAAAGATAGTTCACAAGCCAAACAGGGCAGCTTATCCCCAGACCAGGGGCCATCACTAGGTGTTAGTCCCATAATTTATTCTTTTTGTCCACCCACTGGGAAGTTCTCCATGTACAATAAATGGGGGAAGGAGCTGGATGATAGACCAAAGATCAGAATACATTATACACCCTCATATTGCAGTTGGGGGAGGCAGACAACTATTGTATAGCTGTGGAGAAAGGAAGATTTACTAAATACGGTAAATATAGGGAGAAAGAGAAAACTCTTCCAAGTTAGCATAAATGAGGGACCATATCCCGGGGTGTCAGACATATGGCTTTGGATCCAGTGGCTGCAATGCTTTGTCCGACCTTATCTCTGACAGCACTACCAGTGGTAGATTTACTTGGGGTCTCCAGGACAGGTGTACCCCTTCCTTCTGGTGGAGCTCCTCTCGATGAGTAAAGGAATGCTTCCCATCAGCCGGATGATCTGCAGGCTAGGGTGGCTTTGCCTAGTGTATTTCAATCACACTGTTTTGAGATATTTTTTTTGGCTCATGTAAAATTCTGATTTAATCCATAAATGTTTCATTGCTTCTAGGACCCAATGGCTGAAATCGTGTTGTGCAATTATGAAAATAGAAGTGGATTGCCATAAACTGTGAAATGTCCATAGATCTATCGCATACTGAGTTGTGTGAATCGGTGTGCGAAAGATCACGCTTGCAGAGACTTAACTTTCAGCAATTTGCATCTAAAAATTAGGCCATTTGCATAACTATGCAAAGAATTCAAGCCGATGAGATGATTTTATTATACAGAATAAAATACAGTATATCAGGGTAATAATGAACTGATATTTACAAACACCAGTGATACTTAGAAACTAAGTTAACACTCACCCCTTGTTGCATGCTGTCATTGGCTCGGTCTGCAACCTCAGAGATGAAAAGCAAAGCAGCTGTAGTGGGGTGGGACAAAACAAAATGTCATCAGTGAAGGGCACAAGAGAAAACACCAAGAATGTCTTATGCTTATAAACAAATACAGTTCAGGGAATATGGCTTCATATTTTAGCCCACCCACAACCTCAATTTTGTAGTCCTGAGCAAGTCATAATTTCTCAGCCCCATCTCTACAAAATGCAGCTTACGGTCCTATCTCACAGAGCTATATAAGAAAGGATGGTGTGATATTCTCTTGGTATATTGCTATTATAATCAAAGTTAATTTTCTGTACTACCGTCTCAGAGGCTTCAAGTTCAAGGTCCCTCAGTCCCAAAGCTCCGGGGTTTTTTGTTTTGTTTTGCTTTGCTTGCTTCTTTCCCCCAACTTCACCTTTCTAGGTTGACCTCCTAGAGTGTTTTCCTCCCAGAGGTATCATCATGCATGGAATGCACTTTTTAATATTAATTCCAGTTCAAGTTATAGTAATGTATTAGAAAACAGGGCTCAATCATCATTTTGAGGCTCCCAGTACAAACTTGTGCAACATGAGCTCCCTATAACATACATACCAAGGACTCATCCTATACCTACCATCATGTGAACCATGAAATAAATGTATTTTCTTTAAATTTTCTATTGACATTGCCTGCATATCAGATACCTTAGTCTGTATTGGGACACTTCTATCCTCCAACAAACCTGGCAGTTTGTGTATGTGTGCATATTACTCATATATCATACTGTGAATATGTGATATTAAACATTTAAATATAGAAACACAATGAATAGTAGACAAGCTGGCTTCAACTGTATTAAGAGACGAACAGTACAGGAGTGAAATTTGGCTGTTCTACATGAAATGTGTATGTGTGTGTGTGTGTGTGTGTGTGTGTGTGTGTGTGTGTCTGTGTCTGTGTCTGTGTCTATGTGTCGGTGTGTGTCTGTGTCTGTGTCTGTGCCTGTGTGTGTGTGTGCCTGTGTGTGTGTGTGTGTCTGTGTCTGTGTCTGTGTCTCTGTGTCTGTGTCTGTTTGTGTCTGTGTGTGAGTGAGTGAAGGACCTTTATCTCAGGCAGAAAATGTCTTGAGACAACCCTAGCTGGGACTTAGTGTATATATCCAAGAATCCTTCAAATAGATAAAATGTCACATAAAACTTCTCTCTCTCTCTTCTTAGTGTATATATCCAAGAATCCTTCAAACAGATAAAATGTCACATAAAACTTCTTTCTCTCTCTTTAAAAAAAAAAGAAATAAAAGAAAAGGAAAAAGGAAAAAAGAGAGAGAGATTAAAAAAACCCTGATCACATACTAACATTTCCTTGAAACTGGAATCCATTTATCAAGCACCTTTTGATCATCAGGACTTAACCAACAGCTTCATCAGAGCAATTTTCCAACCAAAGTGGTATCACTACATGTGAGAATCACTTAGTAGAATTATTTAGAAGAAGAATTATTCAGGGACTATATTAGATTTGGTAATGGACATGGTGGCATTCCGGGTTAAATCGCAGAAGCCTCTGTGCTACAAGGCCAGAAGACCAGCACTCATAAGATCGAATCCACGCGATGGAGTGAGCTCCTGTCGCTTGCCCCAGCTCCTGCCAACCTAGCAGCTCAAAAGCATGCAAATGCAAGGAAATAAATAGGTGCCACCTCGGTGGGAAGGTAACAGTGTTCCGTGTCTAGTCGCACTGGCCACGTGACCATGGAAACTGTCTATGGACAAACGCTGGCTTTACGGCTTGGAAATGGGGATGAGCACTGCCCCCTAGAGTCGGACACAACTGGACTAAATGACAAGCGGAACCTTTACCTTTTTATATTAGATTTGGACATCATGTATACCATTATTCTAGATATATTACATCTTTTGAGATTTTTTGGAACTGAAAAATAAGAAAATGGTAAATTTTTAATAAGTAGCTTTTGCCCAAAACAACATAAAGAGGTTGTTGCTGTTGTTTAGTTGTTAAGTCATGTCCGACTCTTCGTGACCCCATGGACAAGAGCACACCAGGCCCTCCTGTCATCCACTGCCTCCTGCAGTTGGGTCAAAGTCATGTTGGTAGCTTCAATGACACTGTCCAATCATCTCATCCTCTGTCGTCCCCTTCTCCTCTTGCCTTCACACTTTCCCAACATCAGGGTCTTTTCCAGGGATTTCTCATGAGGTGGCCAAAGTACTGGAGCCTTAGCTTCATGATCTTCTTGCAGTCCAAGAGACTCTCAAGAGTCTCCTCCAACACCACAAAAGCATCAATTCTTTGGCAGTCAGCCTTCTTTATGGTCCAGCTCTCACATCCATATATCACTAATGGATAAACCATAGCTTTGACTATGCAGACATTTGTCGGCAAGGTGAGGTCTTTGCTTTTTAAGATGCTGTCTAGGTTTGTCATCGATTTCCTCCCAAGAAGCAGGCGTCTTTTAATTTCATGGCTGCTTTCACCATCTGCAGTGATCATGGAGCCCAAGAAAGTAAAATATGTTACTGCCTCCGTATCTCCCCCTTCTATTTGCCAGAAGATGATGGGGCCAGTGGCCATGATCTTAATTTTTTTGATGTTGAGCTTCAGACTGTTTTTTGCACTCTCCTCTTTCATCTTCGTTACGAGGTTCTTTAATTCCTCCTCACTTTCTGCCATCAGAGTGGTGTCATCTGAATATCTGAGGTTGTTGATATTTCTTCCAGCAATCTTAATTCCAGTTTGGGATTCAGCCAGTCCAGCCTTTCGTATGATGTATTCTGCATAGAAGTTAAATAAGCAGGGAGACAATATACAGCCTTGTCGTTCTCCTTTCCCAATTTTAAACCAATCAGTTGTTCCATATCCACTTCTAACTGTTGATTCAGCAGTATGTGGACCGAGTTCTTGGTCCACATACTGCTGAATCCTACCTTGTAGGATTTTGAGCATAACCTTGCTAGTGTGTGAAATGAGTGCAGTGAAGAGGTAGCTCATCCTAAAAGCAAGCTGAGATCTAAGTATAAGGATATTTTTTGTTCATAGACTTTTTCCTGGATATGTTGTGCCACTGGCTGTTTATCATGCAAAATAAATATTTTCTTATTATTTTTTAATATTAAATTACCTTGTGTGTCTTCATACTCAGCGGAATCAGGGCAAAGATTATTCAAGTAATCTGTAAGGGAACAATCAAATATTAAGCATCTAATTAAGTCTCATATATATTCTTCCTCATACACACATTAATCGCATTAATACACACATTAATTAATACACACATTAATAAATTCTTCCTCATACGCACATTAATCGTATATACAGCATATTCATCTCCATAGCAAAGTTGTCTTTGAGAGAACAGTCTAGGAGCCAAAGGTTACTGTGAAACTTCCAGAGCTTGGATAGGTTTTTTCCTTTTTGATTTTTTGTTTTGATTCTCAGTGGCTCTAGTGGCTCTGGCCTTCTGGGAGTTGTAATCCAAAGAATGGAAATTTCCAAATTTGGGGAGCTCCTCTTCTAGAGGGGTCCTTGTTATTAGACCGGCAGGTCCCATTGCTTACCCTCATCTGTTGGTGATGTGCCAATCGCAGTATGGAGAGAAAAGTGTGTGTGTTCTGTGTGTGTACATCCACTGTGGCTCACAGACAAGCAGATCAGGGGGAACTTGGGAAATCCAGCATTCAAAGCCTTCCATACCTCCAAAACCTCTCTACCCATAGAGGAAGAATGCACCAATCCTGGATCTGATATACCTTTTTTTTTTCTCTAGTCACTGTCCTACCCTTCCTCTCTGGGGAGCAGGAACCCAGCGAAGCTTTGCCAATAGCAGAATGTTCGTCGTCGTTTAGTCGTTTAGTCGTGTCCGACTCTTCGTGACCCCATGGACTAGAGCACGCCAGGCACTCCTGTCTTCCACTGCCTCCCGGAGTTGTGTCAAAGCAGTATGTTAGTTGTAGGTTTTACCTCCTTCACACTCATATTTCTTCAGCAAAGTTTAGATAGATGCTTAGCCCCAGCTATGAACTGGTGAAGCACATTCTGTCTGTGAATTGACTGTGAATTGAGAGGTGAACCTTAGGCCTGTGCTTTAGCTGGTTAGTGGCCAAGGTAATTTTAAAGCATTACCAACATTTTCAAATTGCCTGAGAGACTGAAATGTTTTCTGTCACTGGCCCTTGTTTTGGTTTAATTGCATTAGTTAATTTAAGAAGAGCAACACCTATGATGGATTATCATTAGACACAGATACACAAAAAGTGATTTCCATTGGAATTGCGTTCAGCTGGAGAAGGCCATATTTAATCCTTGTCTAGATGAAGTTGGACACAGATTACAATTTTTTGAATCGACTAACATGGCCTGTGACTCACATAGGTATATAGAAGCTGAGGAGACTCTGTTATTTGTGGACCTCTTTGGACTAAGGCAAGAACTGTTGCAGGAAGTAATTTGCAATATCTGCGTAGGCTGTACACAAAAGCTGTCTCCAGTGACAGGACATTACTTATCCCTGCCTGATGAATCATTGTGGTCTACCATAATTTCTCCCAAACGTGCATGGGAAGTCAGAAATACTGCAGCTGTAGTGCTTTGGCAGGTCATCTTAAATCTATCCTGCAATATATTTTATTATTCTTTGTTAGTAATAATGAAAGCAACAATGTTGGGGGTAATGAGACTATGTCATAACTTTAGATGTATTACTTTGTGATGGGGGGAAGGGGTTATTCAGAAGACTGGCTAGAAAAATACACCTTAAAGAAAGAAAACATGGCTATAATCCATTGCAGAGTTACATAGGCAGGGAAGAAAATGGGACCCAAGTATCTGCAGGTAAAGGTGAAAGTTCAGTCAGTGACAAAATTTAGGAAGCTTATGTGAACTTAGCAAAGGTCATATACCTCCTCTGTTTATGGGCACATTTCATTCTGTCACAGTGGCTAACGGACCAGCCATCTAGCAGTAGGATGGCCACGTGTCCTTTTTTACACAGAAGAGTCCCTCCGTGTGAAGTGATGCCATAGGGCAGATATCCTTTTGAAGGTGCCCTCCACTTGAAAAGCTGTCCAATCCAAATCTACATGAACAAACAGCAATTCCAAGGGGTGATATCAGGGACCTTGAAGTTGCCCATGCACATCTGGACAGCAGGGTCAGCAGGTTAGTAGATCACCCGGTTGCTCTATTTGTCACTTAGATGAGATCTACTATATTTCTCTTTAAACGGTGAAAATCACTTCTAATATTGCATACCTTTGATCATGGAGGCAACGTAAGAACGTTGATGAACAGCAGTCACTGACAGCCTCATCCTCTGTGGCTTGGACCAAACCCTTTTAAAGCTGCCTAAGCTGATGGCCATCATGACTCTTCAGCAAATTATTTATCAGAGTTAATACAGACTTTAGTGCTGAAGGCCAGGAGTAGAAATCCCTCACAACTGGTAGTTGATCCTGTGACTGCTAACTTTATCCTCTGCAAATTTATCCAATTTCCCTTTAAAGCCTTCACTGCACTGAATGGTAAATGACTTCCACCATTTAAGTATGTGCTGTGGGAAAAAGTGCTTCCTTTTATTTGTCCTGGATCTTCTTCCACCATTCCACTCCAGTTCCCAAGTCCAAATGTTTTCAGAAAGGGATAGCGGACAAAGTCTGTGTTCTTCCCTGCACCTCCCCATTTGTCAGTAGGATTCTTCTCATTGAGAAAAAAAACCTACACTAATATGGAAAATGATACATGAAAGGTTATAATATTTAAGTTCTGCCTGCCAAGTGTTCTATGAGTCAGTGGATTCACTTGGATCGGCTCACGGTGTGGGGGTTCTTGCTGTGATATGTTTATCTCCCATCACTTCAGGTTTCTGAGTAACCCTGTTGGTAACCAAAATATCCACTCTAGCCAGCTTGTTGACGCTATGGTAACAGTTTGTAAATCTGAGGCCTAGTTCTCCATCCTTGTGCATTCCTGATTAGGGTTACAGGAGATGCTATGAGATTTCAGTTGACCCACAGGAAATGCTGACCTCAAGGAGAGTTTCACGTCTCTGAAAGATAATGTTGTCCAGACCAAGAATAAATAGTGTAGTTAATTTTTCAATAATACAAAATTAGGAACTGAAACAGAGGAATAAATGCTGATGGGAAGAATTTTTTTAAATTGTCAAATTTTGTAATGTTGATTTGAAATTTCGTTGTTCCAAAGTCCACAGGTATTTACATATGGGATTCCAATTCCTGACTATTTTCAGCTTTAAGATGTTAAGGCCAGTCTCATATTGGACCACTCAGTGCAGCAATGCAAGACTGTGCTACTTCCATGAGTATTGTCATTGAACAAGTGGTCATGAATAAACACACCCTCTGCTTGACAACAGCAATGCTTGTTCAAGCAGCATATTCCCACGTTACTATGCTGACACTGAGTTTCCATACAGTGGAAGTTCAGTGGAAACAGGCCTAACTTGTAATTTGGTTCCAGCAGAATCTCCTGTCTAGTAGATATTGGGATTGCCATGACTCTGTGCGCCTCTGCTCCTAGCCAAACAAGATCTATACATTTGGACAGAAGGCAATGAGGAATACACTAGCTGATTGGTAACTAGATGTAGGAAGACATTTCATCTTGCATTGTTGGAGGTGAAATCTGATTCCTGAAGCTGATGTGACAAGTTTGGCGTCCTTGTTTTATTTAGCTTAGGTAAAAATAGCAATATCTAGTCAAGAAAATTTTTCTACTTTTCTCTTTCTTCCTCTACTACCTGGAGCTTCACAATGTCCAACATGAAAAAAGGCCCAAAAGGATTCAAAAGCTTTCCTGTTTTTAATATTTTAGTGTGTGCTACTTCCATGAGTATTGTCATTGAACAAGTGGTCATGAATAAACACACCCTCTGCTTGACAACAGCAATGCTTGTTCAAGCAGCATATTCCCACGTTACTATGCTGACACTGAGTTTCCATACAGTGGAAGTTCAGTGGAAACAGGCCTAACTTGTAATTTGGTTCCAGCAGAATTTCCTGTCTAGTAGATATTGGGATTGCCATGACTCTGTGCGCCTCTGCTCCTAGCCAAACAAGATCTATACATTTGGACAGAAGGCAATGAGGAATACACTAGCTGATTGGTAACTAGATGTAGGAAGACATTTCATCTTGCATTGTTGGAGGTGAAATCTGATTCCTGAAGCTGATGTGACAAGTTTGGTGTCCTTGTTTTATTTAGCTTAGGTAAAAATAGCAATATCTAGTCAAGAAAATTTTTCTACTTTTCTCTTTCTTCCTCTACTACCTGGAGCTTCACAATGTCCAACATGAAAAAAAAAGGCCCAGCAGGACTCAAAAGCTTTCCTGTTTTTAATATTTTAATAGCCGAGTAAATGTATTACCCATTCTTGTTTTTGGATTTTGCACAAGGACAGCACAGGGTTTTTTTTATTGGCATAAATTTTAAATTTTGATTCCACCTCCTGCCTCAGTGGAACATGAGCATACTTTTAGCATAATTTTAACATATTATGACCGAAATCCTGTTATGTAAGTTATACCAAGGTAGATAGTGTTAGAATAAACAGACAATCATGTCTTTCACCTCCTGCCTCAGTGGAACATGAGCATAATTTTAGCATAATTTTAACATATTATGACCAAAATTCTGTTATGTAAGTTATACCATGTCAGGCTGTCACCCAAAAGTCTCAGTGTCCCATGTAAGTACTTTCATCATTAGGAAGCTGTTAGGAGACAGGAAATCTCAGGGGAAACCTTTAATTACCAAAAATCACTGCTGCCAGGAAGACTTTATATACTGAAAATCACTGCCTCTGGTAAAGACTCCCTCCTCCAGCCCCACAGCTCCCAACAGCATCCTAATGATAAATGTGATTACGCTGGAGCCTTGAGAAATTTGGGAGAAAAATCAGAAATGTTTAATTTCTGAGAAGTTTCCCTTGCCGCTGATGCTATCAGCCTTATCTAACTTCAGTAATAGGATTTCAGCCAATATTTATTCATTCTGACACCTTACTTAGGATCAGACCATATATTAAGGCAAACATGTGTTTCCTCCTCTTACAATATGATCCCTCTTGCAGAGCTATAAACCTGAGGGGTCAGACATGCAAAAAAAGCTGTGCTATCTCCCAAATGATTGGTTAGAGAACAAAAACAAGTTAGCTTGTCAGATGCAGATCAAGGTAGATAGAATAAACAGACAATCGTGTCTTCTTATGTGTGTATTGCTTCTAGATAATTAATATCTAGTGAGACCCTCAGTGCACAGAATGGCTGATCCATCTACCATGTTTCCCCGAAAACAAGACAGAGTCTTATATTAATTTTTGCTCCAAAGAATGCATTAGGGCTTATTTCCAGGGGATGTTTTTTTTTTCATGTACAACAATCTACATTTATTCAAATACAGTCATGGCATCATCTTCTGGTGTCTGCACAATGGTGGAGGGCGGGGTTTCACTTGACTGGGGCTTATTTTTGGGGTAGGGCTTATATTATGAGCATCCTGAAAAAATCATACTAGGGCTTATTTTCCGGTTAGGTCTTATTTTCAGGAAAACAGGGTATTAGTAATGTGCAGCAATGAACAAGATCTCTTTGTTTTCCTTTCTTATGTTTGATATACAGCCAGAATTTTGTCCCATTTTCTTTTTATGATCCTGCCTCACCCAGTGCTATGATTCACATAACCAGCACTCTTCATTTATTAGAAGACCTAGGACTTCTCTTGAACCCTGAAACTGCAATGTGGGGCACATTTAATATTTCTTTTTCTACCATTTCTCTCACTGTGCACCTTCTGCCACTAGGATTTCTTTCTTTCCCCCTTTCTGCTTTGTTTCACTTGCCTCTCCAGCCCTGCACCTCTCTTTCCTCCTCCTGCAGAAGATGATCTTAAAGGTAAAAAAGCACGCAATTGTAGTTAACAGCAACACACCTTTTAATTTAACTGCTGCAGTCTATACTCAAACACGACCGAGTAAAGGAGGTATAATGTTTTGTCTTGCTGACCTGTGAGAAGCACATGGTACTGGAAGATGTGCTCTACAACTTTCAAGAGCTGATGTTTCACGTTCAAAATACTGCCATCACGAAACTGCTGTCCTCAAGACAAGGAAAACAAGAAGAGAGTAAAGGTCAGAGCTTGGATATCCATAATCAGAGCATAATCAGCAATCTCTCTCTTTGCATGCAGTTGGCACTTTTACAAAGCTATCATAGTGGCAGCAGTCTCCAAGCACATGGCTATTAGCATATAGGAATGCCAAAGAGAGGTAGGTCAACTTCATTCCTTCAAATACTTTCTTCCCCAAACCCTGTTCTGTTCCACTGCATGCAGAATTTTTAAAAGAAAAAAATAATTGCATTTATTTTGTGTGCATTGACAGATGCATTAATTGATAATGCCCTTCCCCTGACTAAAATTGATGGGGAACCTCAGCACCCAGAGCCAAATCAAGTTTGCCTGGTGAACCAATCCAGTTCTCTAGATTGTCTAATGGCCAACCCATGACATGCTTGATGAAAAAGACAGGCTATAGCTATTGTAAATAAAATAGATAATAAATGCACTATCACTTGGTGGTTTCCCAGCTTTTGTACCAACTGAAGCTATCGTTCTAAATACATTACAGATTAATATCTCAAGCCTGATATTAAAAGCAGGAACTTTCCAAGAAAAACTTAAAATTAGCACTGTGCTTCCATTTGTTTGGAAATGGGGGAATGGGGAAGGAGCCAGTATTCTTGGTAGAAGTAGCCTTTTTTTTTACCTCCTGAGACTTACAGCGGGACAAAGCACATGATGGCTCAATGGTAAACACAGCAGGAAAAGACTAAATATAAGGTGTACTGATTCTATAATGGAAATGGACATGAGCAGAGCAGGGCTGCTAATGATAGGACATTTTGAAGGTCACTCATCCATAGGGTCACCATAAATTGGAGATGTCTTGGAAGCAGCTAAAAATAACAGCACAGAAGTCTTGATCAGAAGAAATCAGGAAACCTTACTTTGTACATCCTTATATTTAATCCTTCAGGTTTTATCAGCATCAGGTTCTAAAAGTAGCCAGGAGGAACTTCTCTTCCTTCCTCCTTCCTTCAAAACAGGTAATACTTATTTATTCATTATTTTAAGTTATATTAGGGTGCGACTACACAGCAGGGAATGTCCATTCTGATCTGCACCTTTGGAAATTGGGTTTCCTTGCATGAAATTACTGTAACCATCCATATTTGCAGAAGCCATCAGGGTACAGGTAGAGAACTTTGGTTGCATGGAGGTCTAACAGCAGAAGCACCTTAATAAGGTGCAAACAAGTGCTGATTTTTTAAAAATCGTTCTCCTAAATGCTCTAGTTTCACTCCTGAGTTGAAATATTTTGAAAAAGAAAAGAAAAGAAACCGTTTGGAGATAGGGGGCACTCAGTTGAGGGGAACTGAGACCCCTATTACTATCCCTTTCATCCAGATCAGGTAACCATGCTGGCAGAAAGTGGACAGCATCAATGTCAAACCAATTGTAACAAATTTAAACCATTCCTGCTGGTTGAATTTAAAAAAGAAGATTCCCTACAAAAAAAGAGAGATGTTTCCACACTGGGTTTCTGCATTTTGAGCCTTATATTGTATAGTCACCATGTTTTAATGCAAATTCATAAGTGCCCAATTTTGAGGTAATTAGCCAATGTAGTTGCCCTTTCAGTTATATCCCAAGACCAAAGGCACCTTACAACATATATTTTTTTAAAAAAAGAGGAAGCCAGAAACATAATAAATTATTGTATTAAAGCAGTATTAAAAGAATACCACATTCAAACGAGTACAAAGCACAATTAAAAACACATTTCTAAGACCCTACTTGACTACCTTTCAGAGTGAGAAGACGGGATGCCAAACACACACACATACACAGACACAGCTTCTGAGTTCAAATTTATAGCTCAAATAAAAATCCCATTAACTTCAATTGTAGCTGAACTCAGGGGCAACACAGAAGGCTAAGACAAAAGCATTAACACAGTAAGTTTTATCTCTTACTTAATATTGGGAGCCATGATGTCCCTGTGAAATACATTCTGACCCTGCTTCCTGGGGCACCGCAAGGTAGAGGGAAAGGGGCAGAAAAAGAGCCATTGATCTGAAATACACCAAAGGCTTCTTCTTCACAAGGGCTGCACTGATTTATGGGCTAGGCAACATGAGTGGGATTAAAGCAAGACTCTGAATTGCTCCCAAAGGAACAGAAGAGATGTAACTGCCAAATGTAAGGTTGAAGGGAGCCAAGATCTTTCTGGAGAGAGGGTCAGGCATTAACCTCTAGACTGGTGCACAGAGAGGCTAATGAAAGTTTATGGAATGAAGAATCTGAGAGTAAATTTTTTAGGACTGCTCCCTCAAGTTCAAGGTGAACATGAGGGTCCTTTCAAGATCGGTCCCTGTGCAAAAAACATCAGGAAGAGGTTATCACTCTCATATCCTGCTTATGGACTTTTTGCAGGCCCTTGAATGGCCAGGATAGGAACCAAGATGCTGGACTAGCATCTGTGATGCAACTAACAGTGCAAAGAATGGCAAAATTATTCAGAAATCCTCATTTTTTTATTTATTTAACTTCTATGCCGCCCACACTACCCAAAGGTCTCTCATACCAACCTCTGAGATAAGCATTAGAAGCTCCACCTGTATGCCCTGAGATAAGCAATGAGATAAGCAGGAGCAAGGGAGAGGACCTTCTGAGTAATGGCTCCATGCTTCCGGAACTCTAATCCATTGGATGCCTTGCAGGTCTGCAAACAGACCCTAAAAACATACCTCTTTGCCTTGCTCTCATAACTCAAATCTTATTAGATGCTGGCGTGTATGTCCAGTGTTGCTATCAGACAAGGCGATAGTTGGAGTAGAATTTCTGCCTCTGCAATCCTGGGTATTTTACTATACCCTTGCTTTCTCTCTCCTGCCCCCAGTCCCCATTGCTAATTCCTCATTCTCCCACGACTTCTGAGCGAGCTAAACGGTAACAAACCTATTCCCCTGCATTTATTTTTAATGGCCCAGGCAGGCCGAGACATTGGCTAGGAAAGCCCCCAAAGAGCACCATGGCCAGCAGCTACAGTTACCATGCAATGCCTTGTGTGTACAGCCACCCATGAACTCACCAAGTCACACTTTTTCTTAACTTGAGGTAAGGCATGTGGAAAGAGATTGCAGGAGCAGCTACCATCTTCACTGTTGAAAGGACCTCTGGGAATGAATGAAAATGGTGGATGGTAGGCTAGCGTTTGTCTCCTCAGGGCACCCAGGCTCAGTATCAAGTTAAAAGGAGTTCCACAGCAACACATTGTAGGTAACACACTGGATTTGGAGTCTTAGGGCCCTGTCCAGATGTCGTAGCATGAGTAACTCTGTAGATGTTGCTCCATCGTTTCAATAACTAATTTTGATCTTTTATTCTTATTATCACTTTTACCATTCTTTCACTGAGTTTTGTTGTCTCATTGCCATTATATGCCATCTTAGAAGCATTTACTCTGAAAGGAGGTTTATAAATATTTTACATTAATTAGTTTATAAATTAATCTACATTGGGCAAGCTTCATAAGTTGGACCAAGACTTCTATAGCAGAATTCTGGGAATGTCAGTTTGGTGACAGAATTAAGAGTCCTTGGTTAAGAGAAAGAGATACATTCTTAGTGGGACAGAAGTGTCCTGTTGTATTTGCCTGCAACAGGAATAGGGCTAACCTGGGTTGAGGAGAAAGGCAAGCACACATTCTGCTCCTCAAATTTTCCTTCCCCAGTTACGTCATCAATGTGCTCAGCATGAAGATCCGAATAGGGCTCTAGGGCTGCTTTCGGCCGAATCAAGCTGCAGAGATCTTTGGCTCAAGAACCATGCCTTATCAAGGATTCTCGTCACTGGAGTTCCATAAGGAAATCACCACAAAAGTGTTCCTAAGAGATCTGTTTAGATCTTTGTACTGAAGACATTAAGATATAAACAAACAGTTGGTGATGTAAGGATAGTTAGAGAGGGAGAGCTTATGTGCTCCCATCTTTTGCCCAAGGATGTGGTGACACTTTGGGCTAAACTGCAGAAGCCTGTGCTGCAGGGTCAGAAGACCAGCAGTCATAAGATCGAATCCACACGATAGAGTGAGCTCCCGTCACTTTGTCCCAGCTCCCGCCAACCTAGTGGTTCGAAAGCATGCAAATGCGAGTAGATAAATAGGTACCACCTTGGTGGGAAGGTAAAACAGGTTTCCCTAGTCACACTGGCCACGTGGCAACGGAAACTGTCTTCAGGCAAGCGCTGGCTCTATGGCTTGAAAACAGGATGAGCACCGCCCCCTAGAGTTGGACACAACTGGACTAAAAATGTCAAGGGGAACCTTTACCTTTACCTAACCCTGATAATGTGTGTGTCAAGGGGAACCTTTACTTTACCTAACCCTGATAATGTGCGGATAAACACCTGCATAGAGTTGTTGTCTGCCCTAGAAACACTGTATATATTTCAGAATACAGCAAATGCATGCTCAAATCAACTTCAACTCACCTAGGGATTTCAAGGGGTTCATGTTAAATGCATACACGAAGGATTACAGGGTTGCATGTGGGACAGTTGAGACTTGCCCTGTTATGAGGAGCTTCAGAGATTCGTCAGTACTTCTCATGGTTACTTAATGAGCAGCCAGAAGGTGGCAGAGGTAGCCTACTTGTTCTTAACGTGATCGAAACACTTATTCCTCCATTTCCAGATCTAGAAGACAATTCTCTTCCCCTTCATCATGACAATAAGTATGCATCATCAGGTATATTGTGACCCTTTCCAAAGTTTTCTAAGTCTAGAGTATTCAGAAGTGGTTTATGAGCCCCTTCTTCCTAGGCTCTCTGTGACTATGCAGCTTGCTCAAGTCTGGCTCTTTTCCTGGGAGGCACAGTGAGGAATCCAACTCCCAACCAGCCACCTAACTCACTGAGCTATCCAGCCAGTCGTTTTACAATAAGACTGCGATGACTGCTGCTGATAGTACTATTCTGAAACTTTCCTTTGTCTTGGGTCTACATATACTACCTTCATACCAGGAGATATTTTCTTTTTGTTCCAGTAGAGAGAACACCTGGACAACAAAGAAATCTACCCTCTTGGAGTAGTTTAGCTTGAAATAATCCCCAACGCTATTACTGCAATTCGGATGTCTGCATTGCTCAGCAAGATCTTTATAACAGCATATCCAGACTTTCTCCCTCTTTTAAAGCACAATTCAGATGATGAAATATCCATGGACAAATGATGACGAATGGTCATTTTAATGAATTATCATTATTAATATTTCAGATGTGCTGCTAAGGGAGACATAATCCATATCTCAAGGAGTCGACAGCCCAAGCAACATTAAAAATACAGCAGCCAATTCATCCTCATAACCTTTTCCGTCAGAGAAGTAAATATTACTGGTTCGCCTGCCCTCCCCTCCCCTTCCCTTTAGAAATGGAGAGACAGATCTACATTAGGGCTGACATTAACAGTGTATTTGCACAGTCGGAAGCCACAGCATTAAGGCAGCAAGAAAGAGGAGTAGAGAATGCCTTGTCATTTCCTAAATTAGGAATGCTGTAACAGACGATTACTGACAAGTGACACCACTCCGAAGACTCTGAAGACATGGATACAATCAAAGAAGGACAGCTCTTTCACATATGCATTTGGAACTGGTAATACTGTATCTCCATGACTGAGCCACAGAAGAGACCTTCTTACTAGTAACTGAAAAGCACTAGTCATTTTTAAGGCATGTTCTAAAGACACGGAGTAGAAAACACATTTTTCAACATTTCTAAAGACATGGAGTATAAAACTCACAATGTTAAGACAAATAAGGATCTAGAATGTATTTGTTATATTAGCGTCAATAGTGACGTTACTTGCTCCAGTGGCGGCTGAAGGGAACAGAATAGATGGAGAAAAGAATTGGTGACTTACTGTTGAAGCTACGCATTTTGTGTTGTCCCTAGCTGTGATGAGGGGAGCTTTGGGCTCCGTAGCAGCCAGCACTGGAGCTCCTGGGAACTAATGCATGATCATCTGAGAGCAAGGAAGTGTTTCTAAGACTAACACATTGGTTAGCCTGTGTATGACCTCTTCCTTCCCTCTTGACCAATTAATTAACCCTTTTTCTTTTGGGGGCAAAGACGATCCTCTCCCCATTTTCAATTGTTTTTCTACCTTTGTGTAGTAAGATAAACTTTTTGGAACACTGAAGAGGAAAGATGCAGCCTGACAGATCCCACTTTTTGTTTTTACTGTTTTAACCTTTTTCTTTCATTCCTTCTATGAGCCTCTGAAGCCTTTGTACTTTATTGAAGTCTTCTGTAACCAAGTTCAAGCCTACAACTCGCAGCCTCCATGAGTAAAGAGCTGTTTTCTTTTTATCTTAAAAGCAGTGTCTGAGTAATTACCTAAACCGGTTAAATGCAGTGTGTGTGTGTGTGTGTGTGTGTGTGTGTGTGTATGTAGCTTGCTACTCAATTTAAACCCCTAAACTTACTAGTCCTGCAATTATAAATATTCTTCTCTGGTGGTACTACAAAGTCCATCACTCTAATAGATACAGTAATGGAATGAGAGGAGGGAGGGGTAAAAACTGTAATTCATTAAGTGCTGTCAAGCTGATTCTGACCTATGGTGACCCTCCCAGGGCTTCCTAGGTGTACATTACTCAGAACAGACTTACCAACCCCCTTCTGAGGATGCTCTGGGACACTGCAGCTTGACAAAGTCCACCCAGGTGAGCAAGACACTTAACCTCATTAGCCACACATGTTCCCAGTGATAACCCTTGACTGCTCGCTCTCTCTCTCTCTCCCCCCCCCTCAAAAAAAGTACAGTGAGAATTCATACTCCTGGCTTCCAGCTGTGTAGCTTGGCACTCCAACCCACAGAGCCACACAAGCTCATACTGGTACATACATCGGTATCAGCACTGGATGCACAGGAAGAAAATGATCTCACTGACCTATAATATTTTTTGCTCTTTTCTTCATGTCCACCTACTGCATGTAAGAGTGGATCTTCATATAATATATCCTTCCTATTATAAAAATATTAGTGTACTTGAAAAGACAGCCAGTACTAATTGTCTTTACATGTATATGGAAGGGAACAGTTCTCATGGCCAAAATCTACTTTGTGGATGCCGGGGACCAGCCATTGCTGCTGTCGCTACCTTTCTATGAGGGAAGAATAATCCCAAGATTTACAATGAATAGATCTTAGGGTGCCAGAAGAATCACACAGAGAAAGAGCAACATATGGAGTTGGTCACCAGCTGTTCTCTGATGTCATTCCAGAACTGACTAACAGTACTTTAATCCTTCTCCATTTACCCCGTTATATATACACTGTACATGTTTATTGGAAGATTTGGGTACAGCTTTATTGCATGCTTATACTGAGGAGAATTTACCTCTCATATAGAACCTCCTATCTAATGCCATTTTAAGAGACTGTTATTAATATAATATTCCCAATATGAATTTGGGAAGACAAAGTTACCTCAGGAAAGGAAGTCAGGAGAGAGACAAACACACAGAGAAAACAACAGTAACAACAACTTTAGAACTGCAGCACTGGAAGGGACCGTATGGATCATGGGAGTCCAGTCCCTGTCAAGGAGGTACAATGTGGAATAGAATTCCCAAACCTTAACCACTGAGCTATAGTGCCACGGAGTGACAGAGACAGGATGCACTGAGTTGCAGTCAAAAATGAGCGCGAAAAAAGAACAGAGTAAGGCCTTACCTCAAACTCTCGAATGATAGTATCCAGCTGGGAAGATTTGAGACGGGCTTCATCCAGCAAAGCCAAACTCCTATCAAATTGCATAATATAAGCCGTATGGTGATTGAATCTTGACTCTCTGGAGAGGAACACATCAGCCACTTTCTGATGTTTGTCCCTAAAGCCACATAAGAGTAAGCACATAAGGAACAGGAAAACTCCCACAACCCTAATTTATATTGTCCACACCCTTCTGTTTTCACCAGTCCTAAACTTTTAAGTGGCATTCTTCAGAGTCATAATAAAAAATAAAAAAAATAAGTCTTTCTTATTTTTCTCCCCTTTTATGCCATGCCATCTTGGTAATCTTCTTCAAATTAATTGTTCAATTATAATTGTAATTTTATGTATTTTATATATTATATTGTTCTGTTTTATCTATGTAAGCCGCCCCGAGTAGACATGGTCTAGAGGGGCGGGGTAAAAACCCAATAAATAATTAAATAAGAGCCGAATTTGTTGAAGGTGATGCCTCTAAACTGCCTCAGTAGCTAGATATATAATGGGCTGAAGGCGTGGGTCCACATAATACTAACACGTTTCTGTGACAGATAGACTTTATGTTTTAGGATAAAGGTAAGTCTCTCAGTCTTGTAGAGCAATAGTCCCCAACCTTGGGCCTCCAGATGTTCTTGGACTTCAACTCCCAGGAATCCTGGCCAGCAGAGGTGGTGGTGAAGGCTTCTGGGAGTTGCAGTCCAAGAACATCTGAGTAACAAAGGTTAAGAACCAGTACTGTAGAAGATGAGACCATCATAGGGGCAAATGGTCTCCCAGTACTAAGAAAAAACTAGATGCTTATTGTTCCTGAGAATTTCTGGAGGCTTGAATATGGAGGTTGACCTAAGAAAGTATAAAGACCTGGTCACCTACCAATTAATAACTCTTTCTTCCAGCTCTCCCAATATTTCTTGGTGCAGCTTGTAGATTTCTGGGATCTCATTCAGGTCCTCCTTGAGCTTTACTTCTTCATGGTCACTGTCTTCCTCATCTCCCAGCACTTTTAAGACAGCTTCATGGAAATCCTGTGAATGCACAATTTAGAGTATCCTCTATGAGCATTGGCAAAATCTTATTTCTCTTTTCATCATCTTTTTTCCTGATTCAAAGCCTATTTTAAAGAGAAAGAACCAAAACATGGAGGAACAAGTGACCACAAGTTGCCTGTTGACAGAACTTAGGTAAGATACTGAGCAGGCACGCAGGTCACATTCTTTTCCACAAAGGCAAAATATGTAGCATTTCTATTTATATTTCAGAAATAAGTTCTAAATCTGCATCCACACGTAAACATGGACATGTGCGTATATCTTCCATTGTCCTCTTTACAACCACATATTTTCCTGACTCAGCAACCATCATGTCCACCCTCCCTGTTCTTTACTACTGATGTTCTGCATCAGAATACCAAATACTCTTTGCCCATCTTAGAGTAACAAAGCATTATGTAGTACTTGTGCAGGGAAGAAAAGAGCCGAGTATTTCTATTGTGCCTGGCAAGTATCCTGCAAGACTGTCCATGGATATAAATTCTCCTCTTTATCCCCCTCCCTCCCGAGCGGATATGTTCAGAGAGGAGTCTGAGCCAGACAGCTGGGTGTTCCTTGTTCTGGCCTACGTCTAGGCTTTTGCAGGCAACATTTCTCATTTTCTGCCAATTGCATCTTTATGGGAAAAATAACTGGATCTCACATTGTCTACAAGAGTAAGTGCACACGGGGGGGGGGAGGAAACACATTTTGAGCTTCTGCTTGCACTGAAGACCATATGGAATCGCTCTTAAAAACATTCAGTGCTTTCCCAGTTTTTCTTTTGTATCCCAATAAACCAGGGAAGTGTCTGGAGATGTCATTGCACAACAAAAGGAAGGACAGACAGAGAAAGTGACCAAGAGGAGAAGAGGGGGAGCTGTTAATTGAAACACCGGCTCAGAAAGGATTTCTCCTGAAAGGGCAGAGTTTGAAAACTCCCAGTGGCTCATCCCTAATGGCCGCTGCAGCAGATGTGGATGTTACAAAATCTCCTGGTTATATATTTTTTTAAATGATTATCTGTCCTGATCTGACCTTCCTTGACTATTAGTGTGGGAAGGAGATACACCATTAACTCTTGCTAAGAAAAAGAAAAAAAAGCAACCTGGAATATTGTAAGAAACTTTGGTTAAAAGAAACTGGGAATAAGAGGCATTTGTGGAGAGTCAGAAATTGCAGATTACACACTGCTCATTACATTTTCAGTACAGGCGCCTTTCTTTTCTTCTTATAGCATCCTGATTTGTATTTGAGTATATAAGGTTGTGTCCACATCAGTCCCCCCAGTGCCTGCCTTCCATTCCCTTTTTGCAGGTAATCCAGGCAACATTACGTTTAAATTGTTCCACTCCATTGTTTTCTCTTTCCACCATGATCAGATCTGACCAAATTCTTCCCCCTATGAAACTCAACTGTAATAGCAAAGCACTAGCAGATCCATGTAGGTTCAAGTGAAAGCTTTGCATTTGCAATTTCAATGTGTCTTTTAGCTTGTCTGCTCATCATGCTGGGACATTAATGCTCAATTGTCCTTTAGTTGCCCTTCTTTACCCATTTTCCTATCAAATCACTGCTGAAGCCCTACAAGATGGACTAGAAAAAAAAGAGAGAGACAGCAACTTCAATGTAATGCTCTCTCTCTCTCTCTCTCTCTCTCTCTCTGTGTGTGTGTGTGTGTGTGTGTGTGTGTGTGTGTGTGTGTGTTTTGCAACCCTGATCATATTCAGGAATGGGCCTTACTGAATCCTTTCCCATTGCTGAATGATAAAATGGCTTCTCTACCAATGAGAGTAGAAGAGAGATTCTTTCCATTGCTCTGTCACCTTCACAGATCTCACTGGGTTCATATTCATGAAGGGAATGATAACACGTTGCCCAACTCTTCTCATTCCTTCAAAGCAATTTTGCCCATTTCTCTGGCAAAATGCTCCTCCTCTTTGGGAGCAGCCTTTGAAAATGGTACTGTTCTCCTCCATGAACTAGTACACGCACTGTCCCGAGATCTCAGAACATTCGAACCTCTGTTAAGGGACACATGGAACTGACTCTTTAGGCATGCATGCCAAGTCCATTTATAAATAGGCATAACATTTCCACATCATCTGCTCAATCCTATCTCATCTCCCCATCACTGCCTAATCAGGTACTCTTTAATTTAAATACTTTCTGCCTCCATGTTAAACAAGGCTTCCACAAGGTGGTGACCAAAGCCATACAATCTACAACACATATTAAAACAGTAAGCAGCAAATGATTATAAGAGAGCAATAAATGAGGAGAAAACACAGCATTCATGGCAGCATCCTGCACTGAATAGGAAATAATAGGACAGCTGGGATTCTTCTGTGCTCAACTGGTGTTCTGAGCCAGGACAGTGAGAAGCATGAGGGGATTTCCATGACTTTATCTCTAATTTCCAGTCTATTTCTCCTCTCTGCTTTATTTCTGATTACAGAGAGGAGTGGGATGGGCAAATTCTCAGGGGTGTGTTTATGGGATGGATTGGGACCATGTAAGAATTGAAGGTTCCTCTTCCTGGTTAAAACTTTGAATTTAACTGTGAAACAACTAGAAGCTACCTGAGATGGTAACACTAATATTATACACTTGTGGAAAACCTCCTTGACTAAACATTTCCTAAGTACTTTTCAAAGGCAACCCTGCATAAATCACAGGTCATTCTCTGCTATGAAAGTGTGCACAGAGTAAATTGACAGCAGCAGGATGTTTTTAAAGTACATTTTATAGCATGTTTAATTTCACAGTGGATCTGACTGTGTAGATAACTGCATGTTCAGCTACATTAACAAAGCTTGCTCTGAAGCCAACATAAGACGGACCATTACATACCATCTGATTATAACAGACAAAGAAGTATCATTAGTTACTTCATTTTGTGCTGTAAAAAGCAATTGGTTACTTTTCAAAGCAACATTTCAAGCTCTGGAATAGTCTGATTCTGGGATAATGTGTTTCTGTGTGCAGTTTGCAAAGAAATGGCAATGTATTCTCATGCAGGAAATGAAAGCAATTGTCCCTGGTCTTTAATACTATATAAAGCATACAGGGTGATATGCATGTCAGGAAGTTTTGACTAGTACCTTATGTGTAATTCTCAGGCCAGTATTTTCTCACTGGACCAAAACATAGTACAATTTAACATTTTTATACTTTAAAAAAAAATCATCAAGCTGTTTAACATGACACAAAAATTTTCATGCCCAGGCATTTTGGATTAATCCTGGTGGGAATTTGTCTTTTTATAGACTACTGGATAAGGAGTGAGCTGAAATGTAGGATCTTAATAGAGAGGGGTGCAGCTGTTTTAGCAATTCCCTGAAAGCTGAGATTCAGTAGAATTAATAGAAATAGCTTCCCCCGCACACTTTGTGAGCGACCATTTCCCTTTTCACCGCATGTGGTAGGGCAAAAACGTGCTGTGAAAGGAAGTGACTCCTCTAAAAGAAATGGCTATACATCCCACCCGAGAATGTCGTATCTCATGTATTTAGGTAGCTCTATAAATTGGATTTGACAAGTTGCAGAACCAAACATTCCTTTCAGCAAGCAAACTCCTAGTTTTATGAGTGCTTTCAGGAAACATGTTTACTTTCTCCAGCTAGTAGCAGGAACGAGTAAAAGTAAAGCTTATACAGCAGTGGTTCCCAATCTTGGGTTCTTGGACTGCAATTCCGAGAAGCCTTCACCACCAGCTGTGTTGGCTGAGGTTTCTGGGAGTTGCAGTCTAAGACCACCTGTGTTACCCAAGGTTGGGAACTACTGATCTGCTGTGTGACACAATGCTCACAAAATCTCTACTTTTCCTGGTCTCCCTTCTGGCTGTCTGAAAGTCATTTGCATCATTTGAAAAAGATGCATTTAATTAAGATTTACCTTCCTGTCTTGCTAAACAAGTTACTTCTGAGATAAAGAGATTGTTGTTACCACAATTAATTCTTAATATAGTGAGATAAATTTTGCTTACAAAATATTTTGATATGTTCATTGGACACAGTCACTAGAAGTGCCATATTTAAATGCATTTTGGCAAACTTAAAGGGAGCTATCTATCTATCTATCTATCTATCTATCTATCTATCTATCTATCTATCTATCTATCTATCTATCTATCTATCTATCTATCTATCTATCTATCTATCTATCTATCTATCTATCTATCTATCTAAATAGATATTAAAAATAATAGATTAAAAACAAAAGTATAAACTATAACATTATAATTGATTAAAAACAAAATTATTTCAAAAGCATTTTATAAAACATTGTAAAATATCTAATTTTGATAAATACAGTATTCCAAGACCCCCATGTATTGCTTAAAAGCCTGTATGAAAAGGGAAGTCTTTGCCTGATGGTGGAAAGACAAAAGGGAGGGGGGCAGCTTGTCTTCTTGGGACAGCAATGATGAATCTAACATCAATTATTGACCTTTGAAGTGATAAATTAAGGGTGCCCTGAAAATATTCCCCACATTTTGACTAGAATATTCATCGAAATGTTGTTTTAATTTCATATTTAGATCCGGCCTTCTGCCCTCAGTGCTATCTTGAGCAGCAGCAAAGAAAAAAATGGCAATAGAAATAAAACAGACTAATGCAATTACAAAAACAATACAGCTGAAATCTAAAAGAAAGTCAGTTTTAAAACCAATTTAAGACAGCATTAGACCCTAAAAGCTTAAAGAAGTAAAATATACTTCCAATACCAGGCCATGCTGAAGCAGCAAAGGGAAGATAGACCTTGCCTCAGTAGACAGGCCTCTGGCTTGGAACAGAAGGTAGAGTAGGATAGGAGGCAAAACAGACCACCCCTGTTAGGACACAGGTCTCCCTGCTCTGGAAAGATCAGGCTTCTCGGCTGGATAGCACAGGAAGATAGCTTACTAATGTACCTGCTATGCTTTTGATTTGATCACTTTTGATTTACTTTATAGCTCTCCCAGTGCTGCCGATCCCTTGTGGAAGAGGAGAAAT